CAACACCTGTAAAGGAGTTAGCAACAATTACTGTCTGCTCCTGTGAAACAATGAACTGTGTTGTTACTGGAGAGAATTATAATTGTCTAGATCATCACATCATAACAAGGATTTATATCGTTCAGCTTATTTTAAGTTTTGGGGCTTGGAACAAGAAAATATGTTAATACTTTCTTGATTCAATCCAGGATACGCAACAGTCTAGTTAGTGCTCCATTTTATTTGCACATTCCTTTTGAAATATACATCACATATTTTCTCACAACTCGTTAAAACAAATAAGAGCTTGTTGTTTGTTTGTTCTCGCATTGCATCATGGAAATAAGAGCTCGAGCTGTTTGCACTACACACAGAAAGTATTTTATTTAGATTTACTGCAATTCCGTACTCTTTAACAATATGTATGGTAGCTGTAACGTGGATTTGAACCGCCGACCTGATGTTATCACACTGCAAAGCGTTTACAGCACCAACTGCTCGGCACAGTATGTGTCCTTTAGCAGCAACACATCTTCTTGTAAAATACAGAGCAATAATGGCAGTAAAATAAGTATCGTACATCTTGCTAATTAAGTGTTAAATGTGCAATCTGTTCTTCTAAACATAAAAGTATTCTCCTAGTTAAAAGCCCAAACAACGGATTACTACTTGCCATAACTTCCATATGGGTTGACAGGTATTTTTATTACATGGACTAACACTAGACAACAGCTACCTGTAAATCCAAGCAATGTATGTGTAATGCTTTAACACCATTAGGAAACTAAGTGGAACAATAGCCCTACAAATGCAGTGCTACTAACTACAGAGAAAGTGAAGTTGAAAAGAATGTAAAGATATCTGGCATGCCAGAAGACTCTGAAAGAGATACAATTATGAATATATTCCTTCATAACATATCCATTTTTTAATTGCAGATGTTCCACACTGTCTTTGTATAACCTTCTGGGTGTCATGATCCCGGTTTTCTAGCTTATTCCTTTTTCATTTTGTAAGAAACCTCACCTTGTGTGACATGTCTAGTTTTACTTTACTCTGCCTTTGAGTGTTTTCCAGCCTTTTTTGATTGCTTGCACTTCAGTATAGTCACCTATAGCAGTAGTTTGGCTACTTTATTTTACCTTAACCATGTTTTTATAAAACTACTGCCTCGTAAAGGTATGCGGATGAAATATCAAACATGTTGCTTTATTTCAAGCTAGCCAAAGCGTTCAAACCGGTAGCATTGAGTTTTTAGTTCTCTGTGAGAGACAGTGCAAATATAGTTTGACAGAATACTCTAGAGCTCACAGGTGATTATAAAGCAGTTCCTGCAGTCTGGCTTAACATTTCATTTGTTGGCGTCGTTTATGCAGCATATTAGCCTTTTTTTGCCTTGGTGTTGTTGGTGTGTAACATCTTGTAACATACTTAAGCAAATGACGGTGTAATTGCCAGAGGAGAAATTAAAACAATCTTTCACAAACTCCTCCTGTAAAATGAGTTCATAAAGTGATGGGTTATATTGAGTCATACCATATAGGCCTAACTAGCTATACAATTCAGAAAAAGAGCAAGCAATGAATTTCCATGTGTGACTGGTCTTCCCAGCTGAGATCTCAAGCTGAGGTAAAGCAGGAGGCAGGCTGTTTCGGCTCGTGTTGAGACTGAGCGCTAAGATTCATGGGAGCATGCAGCTGTCAGAGGCCTTGATTGGTGGAGGGCTTTATCAGTCGCACGACCAAAACAGAGCCCATGTGGAGGGTTTTGAATGAAGGCTGCTGCCATACCGAAGTGTTTAGCTCCTCTGAGCCATCAGCTGGGAAATTGCTGAGTAAAAAATGAGCGTGTGTGTTTGTGTGCACACACATGCACACCGTGTAGTAGGGGGGGGAGACTCAATTAAAAACCAGCTGTGCCCTATTCCTCTGAAAGCCCTCCAGCGTTCTACACCCCCTTCCACTCATGTCTTACTCCAGTACCCCTCCTTCTCCACTACCCCCCTACCAAAAAAAACCCCGCTGCTCTGTAAGCTGCCTGTAAGCTTCTAGACTCATGCCGATGGATCTAATGCTTCCCCTTGAAAACACACATGTGAAGATGAACACACACGTATCGCCTACCCCTCAAACATACTGTAAATGCTCATTTGCCCCCCGCTGCTTGATGTAATTTCGTCAGGCTGGTGTGCCAAGGCAAGCCAGCAATCGTCTTCCTCTAGCACTGTCTCCTGCTCCCTGATGTACCTGTTACTGCCTCACATCAGCCAGCTCCCACTGCAGCGGGTGCACTTACAGCTCCGAGGGAGAGATGAGAGAAGCGAGGAATGAGCCGAGCAGGAAGACAAAGTCAAAGCTTCATTTACTAAAGAGACAAACAATCAGACGGACGAAGAAAAGCAGACTGAAAGAAATGCCTGAAAGCCTGTTAATATGGTCTTAAATAACCAGCTGCATTTGGGCGAAGCAGAGGTTAGTGTGGGCATAAAATGGCTTAAGATACCATCTGCCTATTACTCTGGATATTACTGCTGCTTTTTGCCTGTCTTGGTTGACTAAAAGCAAGTACACATTAGGTTTCCTTTCATTATTTTTTATACTTTTTTGAATAGCTATAATTCATGTATTGTATTGCCGCTATAGAGGAAAAGGTACTGTTAATATAGCTTAATAAGGGAGTATCCAGAGGGCAGTGGTAGTGCTTAGCTAGCTAATCAGTGGTAATTCTATAAGTTCAGGTCCTTTAATTAGCTAATTTGCATTTTGAGAATTCATGGAATTGATTATATAATTAAGAGTATAATGCATCTTCCTCTCCGTGTTCGCAAGGCACACATACACCTCCAGATACACAGTGTAGGGAGGGTTAACCCTTGAGGGTACGGGTATGATGTTGATAGATGTATGGGAGAGAACTCATTGCACAAGGTTAAACGGAACTCCTGACACTTTGCAGTCTGTAACGGTGGAGATAGGGCTCGGAACGCAAACTCTCGCTGTGAGGCTCCAGGACCCCTGAGCATTGGCTATAAGCATTAGGCTTTGATAGGTTATAATGGCTTGTGCTAATATTGGCTCGTGATAGAGAAAGGTCAGCTAACTCATCTACACTTTGAAAATCTGACAACTCGCCTCGGGATTATCTTTTCCTCATTTGAGCGAGTCTCGAGCAACACAATTCATCCGAGGGTCAGATTTTATGATGATCCATCACTTTTTAAGATGGCGGTTTCTAATTATGGCATAAGAAATGGAATTTATTAGCCCTAGATTATTATCAGAGCTTGTATTTGAGATGAAGCATGTGTTGAAGATTAAGTGAATTGCCAGTGGTACTTTAGGCACAACTAGAGGCCATGAGACCGATGAGCAATGTGCTGGTCAGCCACCCATAGCAGCAGCTTCTGGGCGATCTAATCTGGGTTTGTTCACTGGCCAGTCTCCACATCTATGCTCTGTGGATAAGTGTTGGCATGTTATAGGACATTGTAGGGCTAATCTCTAGGTGTGTCCGTACGTAAGGATTTAAGTGCAGACGGATGGAAAGGAAGGATTTAATTCTGCTGACATCATTACTCTCCAGTCCTAACACCCTGGGAATTGAGGAGGGTCAATGCAGGGCACCAAATGTCTCTATTTTTATTTTAGCAAATTATTCTTGGTCTGTGGAATAACACTTTTGTGAACAACATTTTTGACAAGCTTATGTTCTAAGGAGCTACACTCAGCTCATTATCTTTAGAAAAAGCCAACTCCACAATGGACAGAGTAGGGAAACTTAAAAGCTTCGGACAAGCTGCACCTGCATTATTAAGCATGGTTACCATGGGCCCAAGTCAAAGCTGAGTTTTTTTAGGTTATCACGTGGGGACTTGAAAATGGTTCAGTAGGCTACGCCATTTTACCCTCATCTGCATTTTTTCATCTCATACCTCACCTGTGTATTTCCCACCAGAGATCCGATAATTCCCTCATCTTCCTTTCACCCCTGCTCTGGATTTAACTATGCCATCTGGAATTTCCAATCGCATCGAGGCTTCGAGAATTACCCGATAAGCTCTAAGCCGTATTTGTCTTAATCAATATATCCTTGGTGGACATAAAAGAGTTAAAAAATAAATAAAGACAGAAGTGGGAGGTTTATGTCCCCCTCCGATCCCCAGTTATGCATAAAAATGCCTCGGAAATGAAATCTTTATCAAAAGAGCCACAAGGTTCTCCTTACAAGGTGTTTTCAAATAAGCGGGTGTTATTATCATACCTCCATTGGGAAATATGCATTTACAGCTTGGAGAGTGAAAGGCAATAGGGTAACTGTTAACAATGTTTTCCCTAGTTATGGTGCATAATTGCATGCTTCTGTTATTGCGCCTTTCGATTGCTGCTGCTAATACAGAGAAAGCCCATTAGGCAGTGTGCTAATGTGAACAGTAGCCTGCAGTGCAGTGGGTGCACTGTTTAAAAAGAGATGCATGAGGACCACTGTAATGAGCACTAGGCCGCAGAAGGAGGGTACTACCAAACCCAAACACCCAAAGCAGGCACGATCAAGCGCTGGTAAATACAACGAGTCAACTTTGCCTGTCTGGCTGTAGCACTGTAGCCAATTGGGCATAATGGAGCTGACCTTTTATTCTTTTAATACAGTACATACAAATTATCTTAGAATTACACAATGTCACAGTTATAAAGGTTGTCTTTATAGATGTGTTTAAATGTTTTAATCAAAAGTATGCCTTTACATTTATAATAAAATAAAAGTACAACGAAATTAACCCAAATACTGCACTTATTGTAGTTAAGGACAAGCCATTATATTGCATCTTGAGATGTTTCATTGCTACTGATTCTGCATGTCGTCCTGCAGTAATGCAGCTGTAAATACTGTGGATTACTCTCCACATGCACTCATAATGACCATTGACTTTGCTCTGGCCGTGAACGCGCGCTCCCCAAGCCTCGGTCATTGCTCTACTGTGAGTGGATGGTCGCTCCCTGGATGCTGCTGCGCGCAGCCTGAGCCCATCGGCCGACGCTCACGTTCAGAGCATGCCCGCTTGCCCGCCGCGTCTCAGCTCTGAAGAGAAGCAACGAAAGACGTGCCGTTTGCTCACAGCTGCCCTTCGTGGCTCCTTCTTTTCCAGTCAGCACTGTCCCCTATAACGACCGTCACCGTGGAATGGATTGCTCCGTTTGATCGGAGAGATGTTGTTCTGGAGGCTTATAGCTTTTCCTCTCCATCAGCTCACCCCCCGTGCTCTTATCTCACGCTGCGTGCAATAGCGTCTTGTCAGGACAGACAGTGCAGAGAAAGTATGCAATAAACAAATGACAAGTAGCTCAGGACTGTTCGATTGGAGCGAAGGGAAAAGTTCTAGTTGAAGAAGGAGGATTATGCCCAGCGTAACTGAAAGGGAAAAAAAGGTAGGTGACATTTCTAAAATATTCCTATGGAAACGATGCTTACGCGCTGCTGTTGTTTACACACCATCTCTGTCGCCAACACATGTGTGTACGCAATCAGTTGTTGTTGCACGAAGGGGAGGGCAGCACAGAGCGGTGACATTGAGGTGCCTTTTGTCGTAATAACATTTGTGAACCTCATATGAGCCATGCACTTGACTGGCATTGGGCACATGGTGCTTCCTTCGCGTGTCCGCAGTGCAGTTTGTGTGTCATTTTGTCCATCTGCACGCCTTACGGTCCCGAGCAGGGGTGACCTTATGAATCGCTATGGAGTTTGAGGTTTGCACACATATGCAAGGCAATGTCATGTGTCAAAATCCCATTTATTGTCAGTGCAGTGCTCCCTTGCTTATAAGGGTCAAGGTGGCACGTTAGACCTGTCGCGAGGAGCGGGAGGAGCTCCGGATAACCTCTAGGTTCCTGGTGCGTTTATGGCTACCGCAACATCTTATCGCTCTCCGTACATGCGTGATAAAGTAAGTTTGCCCTTCGCTAAAAATTATGCTTTTTCGTCATCGTGACAAATATGGAGTTACTGGTGGGTTTTAATTGGCTGCTTGACCTGTCATAATCTCTCGCCTCCTCTCCCCAAACTGCCAGCTCTGCGTCGCCGCGTGCCATCCACAGCTATTAGTCTCTTCTCATTTCCTGAGTTTCTCTTTTATTCTGTACTGCACTTTTATATTTTTTCTTCAATCATTAATATTTCACCAACTTGCTCACACACCTTGGATTAGAAATAATGCATGGTGTTATGCTTTGTGGAGTTCTAAATCAAATGTCCAGGCAGTGTGTGTGTGTTGGTGTGTCTGTTGAATTTTAATATCCTTGCTCTGCTGCCATGCTCTGTGTTTTGTGGTGACACAGAGAGGTTGAATGCCCAGCTGGGTCCCCTGGAGCTGCAGAGAGCAACGGCCAAAACACTGCAGGAAGCCTCTCACTCAGGAACTATATTCTGAGTGTGACTCTTAGTTTAGGATTTAATGCCACATGCTTGCAATAAGTTTAAGGCTGCATAAAAAAACTTTTGGAGTCGGATTTGTGTCAAGTAGAGTGTCAAGGGATGATGTCCACACACCAGCTGTACAATCCAGAGCCTGGCAGACGCCTGCACCTTATGACATGAAAACACACAGATGCCACGCAGATCTGGATGATGAGACGCCCTGCTGAGATTCACACTACCTCTTCCTCTCCGCGGCCCCTTCTATATCTCCTCCTCCACCTTTAGCTCTCTTCAAGGCGAGTCTGTGATCTCTTACCCTCTTTGTTCACTCTCCCACTTTCCATCCCTCCATCTTGAGCGTTGTGACAGGGCCATATGCATCAAAAAAAGAAAGAAAGCAAAGACTTTCAGTTTGTCGTGCGATCGTTACAGACACACATTTACATACATGCAAGTGCACATTGTGTACTTAAGCGACCTACTAGCCTGCCAACTACCATCATTATGACCAGTGTTTGTGTGTGTGTGCGAATGTGTAGCCAGCCACAGCTTTAAGTGCTAATAGGAGCTCACGCAGGATAGCAGCAGGCCGTGTCAACCACAATCTCCAGACAAGTCCTCAGGGTGTCCCATTTGGCGGGGAAACACACACAAAGACACACACACTAACACGAAAACAGGCCTGAGAGGTTTAGCCTTCACTCAAGGGGTCTGAGGACGGGTTGTCCGAGTTCATGTCCTTCTTGGACCTTCACAACTATTCAACAAGATGAACTCCTGGGCTGTTACCCATAGAGTTATATAATGCTGATTGACTTAAATAAACACACATTTGTATGTGCGTGCTGGATATTTTGTGAATTCAAAACATGATGAAAGAGAGAATGTCTTTTTGTTCATGTATCTCCACCTTCCCCCCCTCTCTCTCTTCCTGTATGTGGGTTACGTATTAATACATTCTACTGCAACACCTGTGAGGTTTGGAAAGAGCAGCATCAATCTTCATTAGACTGAAATGAGGCAGGCCCTGTTGAATAAATGACCATCATTGAGCGTGTGTGTTTGTTTGTGAGCATTTGTGTGTTGAACCCTATAGGCCCGCTCAGACCCAGCTGACAGATGACTGCAGTGATTTCCAGGGTTCAGCAGATTAGGGGATTAAAGACTGAAGGATTCACACAATAACACTAATGCATAGGCACACGCATACAAACACACAAGCATCCAAAAATACAATCGCCGCCGGTGTGAGGGCTGTTCAGCGGTCAGTGGTACCCAGTGGAGCCCCTCTGTTGCTTTTCGCCCTGCGTCGTGCAGATACCGCTATCCACAATCACACATGCTAACAGACGGAAAATAGCATTAGAAAACCTCAATGGTCCAATCTCACTAATGCCATTTTCACGCTACAGGCGTTACCCGTATTGGTACTGAGCGCCAACTTAATACATTTTGTCCTTCCCAACCAATCCAGAACCCACTCGATGTTAGATAATGAACCCGCAAAGAGGGCTGCATGTTTGTGACCAGGGCAATGACATTTAGTTGACAATTTGGAGCCAAAAGTCCCTTTCAACCACGAAATGGGCATCATTGTTTTCATTGTTTTAAAAGCTGTCAGAGATAAATACATTGCAGCATGTTTACTGATGTCATGACAAAAAGGCTGCTTATATCTCTAAGGTATAGACGAGAAGTCCCTGTCATTCGTATTCTTTGATTGATTTCATGACTGTTTTGGAAACAACGTTTTCTGCACAATTGTTTTTCTTTTCTTATTTTGTCTCCTTTACCTGAGCATTTTAACAAGATATGAAGCACTGTTGCCACTGACGGTGCAACCATAGCAACATTAGAAAAACACCTTTAATCCATCAGATTTAGTTTTAGGGACTACGTTTTTATTTTTATTTTTCCATGAAGATTCTAGAGAGGATAACACATTCAGTTATCCCCAGCAGATCTGAGGCCTGTACGACGAAGCCGGTTCAACCTAACCTGGATATGTTTGAGTTAGCCGGTTGGCCTAATCCAAAACATACGCGCTCTCGCTAAGCGGTCCTACGACGCTGGTTATCAAGTGGATCGCTCAAGCCAGCCGTGTCCTATCTAGTTAGGTGCGCGTTCACATGAAAGGGGTGGTATTTGGAGCATTCGACCAATCACAAACATGGACAAGCGTACTGACAGCGCAGCGTCATACTTCCTGAATGAAAAGTCAACTATAATATTAGTCAAATATGAAGAAGTTAAACTTTAAACATCCATGACTTAAACACTTTATCCAGGATCAAAGCCACATAGTTACACCTGCAAGGTGAATACAGCTGGTAACAGAAAAGGTGTTTGAATGCGTACATTAACAGGTTTATGATATCACTGCCCCCTCTAAGGTACATTAGACCTTAACATCTTATCATTTGGGACATAACAGGATAGGTTGTAATGGAAGCATAAACCACCTCTTGTCACTACTGATTAACTAAGAACACTGACCTTTACAGAGAGAAGAGGAGGGTGAAAACCATGGTCTTGGTGACAGAAAACGGAGAAGGGGTGACATTGTGTATACTCCTGCTGTAATTGTCAGCCCATGCCAGTAAATAGAAAAATACTAGCTGAGCTCTATTATAGGCTGCTCTCTCTAACCTACTGCCCCTCTCAGCGATTCCATGGCTTTTTCGAGCCAGAAATACAATCAACACACTGTCATAAATCCACATCCAGAAAATAAAACTACTGCAGGAATGGTTCCATTCCTATTTTGGCCTCCTGCAGAGCAGCTTGGGGGGGCATGAGGTACAACGGTGTCATGGGAGACACATACACACATTTCTACTGCATTCTACAAGTTTTGCACTGCTTACCGTCCGCCTATGTATTTCCCTGCGCCGGCTCTCTCGTTCTCAATTTAATTCATTCCTGCTTTATCTTCCTCTCTGTTTCATATTTCAATATTTCAACTTTGGACATTAATTGTGCTCCTTCGGGGAGCTTGCCTAGACATACGCTGTGGTTTTTCACGAGGTTTAAATTACAAAGACTTGCTGATGAAGTAGCAAATTGCATTAATTGCCGTAATTGATTAATTGGTGGGTAGATGGTAGGAAACCACAGCGTAAAATTATCCACTAAAGTGTTCTGAGGAATGTTGGCTTGGATTTGTACAATAGTGAGTCTACAAAGCACTGTAACATGTTTTTTTAAGTGATTACAAGCTATTATCAACATATCACTTTTGTATTCAGACAATACTTTGAGTAAAACTGTTCTTCTATGATTCATTATTCTGCTGTAGAACAAAAATCCCCAATTATTATAACTCTAATTTGACTTTCCTTACAGTTGGTATAAATGGATGCCTCTGAAATCTCATGTTTTTGGATGAGAAGAGAGATGGTAACTATGTGGCAGCCTGTGGGTTGCGCATGATTTAATCAAGGTAAACACTGGATCATAGCGTGTAATGCACTGCTGCTGAAATAGAGCCCTGGATGTCTCTTTATTGGAACAATGACTCGCAAAATTGCCGCCAAGACGCATATTAGATGTAGAATTAGCCAGTGAGACAATTTTGAACACATAACAGTCGTCTAATATTTTTTTGGAGCCAGAATTCAGCAGACTGATTATTAGCAGTGCATATTATTTGGTTATCTGCAGTTTCTCTGAGACTAACATGAGGTCTGAACACTCTTGGCCCCTCCATACTCATCGTGACCTTTATGGCCTTTAGTTATCTTTCAAGGAGCTGCAGTGCTCAAATAATGACTGTGTGTGTGCATGTGTGTGCATGTGTGTTCGTATGACTCTGGCGTGTCACACCCGGCATTCGCTGTGCTTTAGAGAAAGTGACGCTTGTAGCGAGCAGCCTTCATCTTGGATCATAATGCTCGTGGATCCTGTGGGGTTTTTTGCTGGGAGAGATGACAGAGCGGGAAGATATTCACTACATCTGTCTGACAGCTGACCGACTGGTTTTAACTCATCCTCCTCACATGCTCCTGGCGCT